AAAAAAAAAAAAAAAAAAAAAAAAAAAAAAAAAAAAAAAAAAAAAAAAAAAAAGAAATACAGAGGTATAAATAAAAGAGAAGTATATTCAATGGAACATATAAATAAACAGATTAAATTTTCTTATTATTTTGGCTCTAAGTGGAAATTTTTTATGCCAAATAGATACAACCTGTTTTTCATAAATTTCTCCAAAAAAAGTTTAAATTCAACAATTTGAAAAAATGTTGTTTTACTTTTGTCTGAACACAGACAATCTGTTGTCATACACATAGTGCATGTGAACATACATACTTATACAAACTGCGTAACTATGAATTATGTGCAAATGGGCCCATCTTATATTTTTGCATGCACAATTTTCGGTACTCTATCTTAGTGGATGGTAACAGAGTATAAGTTCATAATTTTTATTCAATGAACCTAAAGTCAGAAACCATCCCAACAATTATTTACAAGTTAATAATTGAATGATTATCAAATCATGTTACACTGCACAACTACTCTTACATCATGAATGCTGATGCTATGAGTTCTGTATATTAAACTGGTAACTTTTATAAGTTGGAAGATTAAATTGGTATATACAAAAGTAATCAAAGGATGAAAAATGTAAGAAAAGGGTTTCTACAACTGAGAATTTATATTTTTCATAAGGATCACAGAAAAACAAGGAATTAAGTGATCTCTGAAAAAAATGCTTTAAAAAACTGAGTGTACATATAGCCTAGCCTGTAAGGCAAAATCTAAGTTACAAGTGTACTCAACACTGGCAACTATGTTATGAGAGGTAATACTGAATTATATACACATAAACTGTCATTAAACTATGATTACATAATACTTCCTACCACAGCTTATTATGCTGTATTATAAAAGATATTCCTGTGGTTTTCTACCAAGGCTCAGGTTTTAAAGAATTTAGTATTTTTCCCTTGGCTCAGAGTCTAATCAATATTATTCTGTAACATAAATCAGAAACTATGCTTTTGTTGTCTTTTTTAAGAAAATAAAAAATAGAGTGTGCAACCATTATAGTTCCAATACACCCACTGCAATAATAACATCTACAAGCAGTTTCTATTGAACCTGAAAACTGATTTTCTGAGGACCCTTTGCTTGGGACCAAGGATGCCTTTCAGGTAGTGTTCCACATTCTGAATAAAATATATAATGGGATTTAAATGAATCTTTAGGAAATCCCAAAGTTTGCTTTTTCTGACATTTTCCTATCAGGTGAAAAATATTTTCACATGAATGACTGTATTTACTATATGAGCAAATGTATCTGTAGAAGAATGTGTTGTTCTAGATATATCTCTAAGAAATCCACATTGAACTGGAAACTACAGGGTCTATCAGAAAGTCAAATTTTAAAAAAGAAGATCAGAAATAGCCAAGTTCTTAGTAGGTTATGAAAAAAATGTCACTGATAGGCCCAGGCCCTACACATGGACAAAGGTCAGCATGAGAACGCTTCTTCATCTGCTGGGAATGTCAGGAGTTGGGGTTCTTGGGTCTCTTGACTGTAGAATGGGACCAGCTCGGTGTCTCACAGTGCTTTCTGATGCCCATTTGCAGAAGGCTTGGTTGTTTCTGAATCCCTTGAAGTATTTGATAAATGAAGTTTATGAAGCCCTGCAGAAGAATTAAGAAAATGGTAAGAGATGATGTATTGTTGAGCAGTTGGGCAAAAGCTGGGGTGGCGGAGAGAGGAGATTTACAAAGCAGAATGTAAAGTTTTATTGTGGAAGCTGTGATGTGCCAGCCAGATCCCCTTTAGGAATGAAAGGTTTCTTCTCCCTACTGGCAGCTCCTTTTGGGGATGGCCTAAGTTAAAGACAGCTACTGAGCAGGAAGTCATGCCCCCTTCCAGGACAGCCTGCCCCCAATGACTGACAGCAAGCATGGCTATAATGGCTGCCCCCTTCTCCCAACTCAGTAGAGCTCAGAAAGGTCATCCCTAGTCACAACATCCCACAGGGCCAGCTCGGGCTTCTGGTGCAGCTGCATCAAGTCACAGTTCCTCTCTGCACACCCCTCCTTGTAATAAACTTCCTCCTGGCAAGCCTATTCCCATCCCAAAGTGTACTTCCCAGAGAACCTAGCCTGAGACAGATATGTCCCCATTTTTGTTTTAAAATACACACATACATATTACTCACATGAAGGAAAATGTAGGGAAAGACACACCAAATTATTAATAAGGAATTAAAAAGAAAAGCAGTGGAAAAAATTACCAAAAAAGAAGGAAATGGCAAAAGAACACACTGAACGCAAATAGTCACTACTCAAAGGTATTTCACAAAATAAAAAATGATCACTATCTTTTTAAATTACATTCCTTTTGTATCATATAGCAATTATTTACATAATATATCTAATATATAGAACAATGTTGTACCCTAACAGGAAGAAAAGGTGGAAGAAAATCCAGGAGTCTATGTGGTACTAAAGTTTCAAGTACTTTAAAAAAAAAAAATGAGACACAGTAACATACAAGAATACATAAGCAGCACATCTATATGGAAGATTTTGAGAAAATAGTATTCATAAGGGTCAGACCTCTGTAACACCTCAAAAATTGGAAAATACTTTTCCTCCTAAAATTCCAGATGGTAATTTACCTGACTGTTAGGCAGTTTTATATCACTCTTAAACCGACACAACTCTCCAAAATTTTAAATTTCTGTCACCTGCATATCTTAATGAAAGAAAAGGTAAAATTGTGCCTCTCTATAATGATTAAATTGGAAGGAAAAAAAAAAAATCAATCCAACACAAAAAATGGTTCTAGTCCCAGGAAAGGCCAACCAACTGAGTGACAATAGGAAACCAGGGCTGTTGGAGGTGGGGAAGTGTGTTAAAATAAGGCTCTTTAGAGAAGAGACTGAGCAAGGGCTGGCCAGTTAGCTCAGTTAGTTAGAATGTGGTGTTGCTAACACCGAGATCCAGGGTTCAATCCCTGTACCAACCAGCTGCAGAAAAAAAAGGGGGGGGAGGTGACTACTCAAAGAGATCAATGAGGTACTCATTGACTGAACTGAAATAGATCACCCTGTTAGAACAGATTATTTGAGATAGTTCACTTTGAAAACTTTGGTGCAGCATAGGTTATGCATTCTTTAAAGTTGCAATGCCTTTCTCCTGCAGAGAACCCTAAAAACAATCACCTCCATTACCACCATCACCATAGCTAAGTGTGTAGTGTTGATTATGTGCCAGATATTCTCTAAGATGGATACTATTATCATCAATGAACATAGTAGGGACATAGTAGCAGAGGGGGGGAAAGCCTACACAAAAAGGAAAAAGAAAGAAAGAAGATACTTAAATTTAATAATGAAAGTATGACTCAGGGAAATTAAGACTTCAGATCATTCAAACATTACATATACTCAATGAGGATCTTTTTCTATGCATAAATTTCTATGCCGTGCTAGCACCTCCCTTTTCAGAATTTCTCATTACTTCTTCTCTCCTAGCCTAGCTTTATTTAGTTCAGTCTGAAGAGTGTTTCACTTTTTCCTTTCTTTTAGTCTTTACTGTGGAAGTGGGGGTAGTGAAAGGGACGTGGGGGATTAGGAAGGGGGCGAGCACTGAGTTCTCACATGTGGTCAGCCCTCAGCAGCACCCTGTGAAATAGAAAATACCACCATTTTACAGACAAAGAACACAACTCAGAAGGTAAAGACATTTGCCTGAGGTCATACAACTAGTGAGTTGAAGAACTGGATGTAAATATAGGCCAGTACAACTCCAGTCTCACCTCTCATTTTTGGTTTCTTAGTGACTCTCATCAGCTTATTTAGAGTTTTCAAACACCAGATAAATGAATCACTCATTGCAAAATAATAAAGTGTTTGAATGCCATCTCTCTTCCCACTGTCTTGTGTGCTGATGGGACTTGAGAAAGTGTGTGTAGTCCTAGCTTTCCTGTTTCTAGGCCTTATTATACTTGTAAACTCAAGTAATCTTATTTCTTTCTCATTTAAATGCAACTAAACAATTAATGCAGATAAATAAGTAGATTTTAAGATGTGATTCTGAAATGAGAACAACTTTATATATGTAGCTTGCAGAAGGGACTGCTTTAGAATAACAACAACAGTAATAATAATAGCAAGCATTGTGTCGTGCTCCCCTGAGTCAGGCATTGTTCTAAGCATTTTAAATGAGTGCATATGACTATTCATATAAATATGTAACTTTATTTAATTCTCATGACTACCCTGGGAAGTAAATACTGTTGTTATTCTCACTTTACAGATAAAGAAGCTACATCAAAGATAGGTTAAGTAACGTGCTCAGGAACTCATAGTATTACTGAGCAAGGGCTCACTGCCCAACGTTCATGGAAGCCAATACTATGGCACTGGTTTTTGAGACAAGAAAAGGCTTCATTGCAAGGTTGACCAGCAAGTGGATGGGTGGCAGGTCTCAAATCTGTCTCCCCAATCTAGGGTCTGGGCACATTTTAAGAGGTTGAGGAGCACAGGAAAGGATGAGGAAGTCTCAAGTTGGCGGAGTTCAATTGGCTAGTTCCACACAGGTCCACGTGTGGTCAGTGCACCAGATCTTCCTTCCTGTAGGACCCTTCACTTTGAAATGGGCTCCGGCAGTTGTTTCCAGCCTTTTGGTTCTGCTGGTGAGGAAGTTTGTTCCTGTAATGCTCAAGGTTATGACTTCCTCCCCTGCACAGGCTCAGTGGGTTTCCTACAAAACAACATGGTAGAACAAAGAAGTCTGGCTCAAACCAGTCATGCAGTTTTAATCTCCCTTTTTTGTTGTACGTTCCTCAATCTTGAGGGAATAGGAGGATGACAACTCTAGCTACTTCCTGCTGATAAGGGGTATAGATCAGGGTTAGAGGAATGAAATTGCTTTGCTCTTAATTGTAAATACTCACAAGTCCCAGGTTCAATAGCCACCTGCTAGACAAGCAATGTTGGCAGGGGAAGCAGACTTACAAATATGAGACAGGCAGCAAGTACCTAATTTTGTCATTAGGAAAAAAAACTCCCACTATACATATAATTACAATTCCCAGTTTGACCAGGCTTTCAAAATAGACCTCATTCCTGCTGGGATCCATGAAAACATTCTCTAATAGGGTGAATCCAGGTTCTTTCAGGGATACTTGTTGGAGTCATGTCGCTTGTTGCCTGATTTTGTCTAGGTGGGTTTCAGTCTCTGATGAGGTGTTTATATAAACACAGAATGATGTGTTTGCCATGGCACACACTCCGCCCTGTTCAGCTAAGATTTAGTCCAGGGCAATTCTATTATCCAGCACTACTTTTGCTAGGGATCCTGGCTCTCTCTGTTGGGCAGCTATGCCTAGTGTAGTTTTGTTGGCAACTATCCCTAGAGTAAGAGGAAGATTTATGATCATGTGTTCATGGGCCACTACATCCCACTGAGGTAATAAAGTTCATCCAAAGAAATACCTAGTGGAGTGTGGTTGGCCTCCAGGCAGGTATTTATTCTGCGACTCCCCAAATTGAACCACCATCTAATATAGATTTCTCGGTTCTGAAAAAAAAGTTTTAAATAACTAGTCTAGTGTTGGGTTTTGCTAGAATTGGGGATAGAGAAAGGGATAAATAAACTCCCTAATAAGCAGACTCCTTCTATCCAACTATCAAGACATGGATAAGCCCAGGGTTGGTTGGTTGCTCCACAGGCAAAGGTTTATCCTATAGGGGCACATAGGATACCAGATATGTTAAAATTTAGGCCTTCATTTTTGGGAATTTTATTTAGGACATGGTCAAGCCAGAGTCAAGGTAAGATAGCATCCAGGAAGAATAATTTAATTTACAAATTGATAGCAAAGTGAGTGTTCTTTTTTTTTTTTTTGTCCTTTTTGAGACCGGCCGCACCGCGCTCAGCCAGTGAGTGCTATGAGCACACCGGTCATCCCCATATAGGATCCGAACCTGCGGCGGGAGCGCTGCTGCGCTCCCAGCGCCGCACTCTCCCAAGTGCGCCACGGGCTCGGCCCTCAAAGTGAGTGTTCTTTGAAGGTAGGGGTCATCATATTTTTTATGAAAATATTGACATAATTATGTGGACCTGTATATTGAAGATGTTTTAGTACATCTTTCCTGTACCAGGGGGTTGGAAACAGGAAAGGAGTGGAAGTAAATGCCATCAAATGAACAGGTGAGTTTAGTCTGTCCAGTAGCAAATGTCTGATTTTTGTAATTATAGGTCCCTTTTTCTTTACATCATTCTCCAATATCTAGCATAGGTGTTTTTGTGGGGCACGTGAAGAAGAAACAGGGAACAGATGACAAAGGATCTTGCCTGAGTATTCTAACCCAGCAGGTTACACTAGAGGGTTTCTGGTCATAAGTTAGAGTGAAATTGGATACACTGGAGAAGTTGGTTACAGGCATAATTGTGGGGTCAGTGTGGTCATGCATGGAAAGAGGTTTTGAATGACATGTCAAGCATTTAGTGAGATTCTCTGACTTTAAGATAGCCTGGGAGACTCTCACTAAGGAGTTACCCTTCCAGGTTTGGGAAGGTCCTAGAGACCCTATTCCTAAAAGGATTGTTGTCATCAAGAGGTAGCCATTATTTACCATAGACTGAACTTTAGCAGGGATGAGGCTGGTAGATTTGCAAAG